AAGGAAAAAACAAGAAACAAAACATCCTTGATATCAATGAACAATTAATAGTTTTTTATAAAAATCAAAACATGTTTTTCATGCACAATTAATTGATTACTTTATTTTTTTTTTTTTCAAATAATACTCCATTATATTGTACTTACAAATCAAATACGAGAATATAAATATTTATTGAATGAGTGTCAAATTTCATTTTGAGAGGAATAATATCACTAACGACCACAGGTTGTTCCTTAATTACTTGTCTAATCGTGATCACTGATCATCTTAATTATGATTAAAATAAGCAATATAATTTAATTAAAATATATAAAAATACTTACATATAATTTTAAGAAGAATAATATTTAAATAAAAAAGTATTACTTTATAAATAAACAGAACATTCACGTATAAACCACACATAATTTAATATAATAAAATTATTAGAGTGCAAATTTGATCTACAAATATCTTTTTTAAAGTCAAAATTATGTTGTTCATACTTATTAAAAGAAAAGAATTATAAAATTCAAACCCTTTCACGACCCATTCAAAACTTTTAACCAAACCACTTAAAAGCATAAATCATTCATTTACTGGTTTGACGTGCTGACTTAGGTTAAATTTTAATACCATGAATATAAATTCCTTATTTATCATTTTATTTTGATAACCCAATGAGAATATACAAATTATCAACCCACCTCACGTTACATCGAGATGAGACCAGGTCACGAAGGTGTAAATAAATTCTTCATTTGAATGTGTTGAGTGTGATTTTTTCTTTTAAAAAAAAAAATTCCCTCCAAACAACATAGTCTATAGAAAGGAAGTGGCAGGCAGCCAAGCAATACACGAATAGGTGGCATAAATAGCCTGTCACTTTTTTTTTTATAAGAAAATATTTTAAAAAACAAAGGGTTCAGACCATGAACGCACCCTAAAGTATTTTCTGGTACATTTATGATCATGAAATATTTTTTTTCATTTGTATTCGTACCATGAAGTATTTTTTTAATGCATTCAGCACTCTAAAATATTTTTTCTAAGTGCGTCTAGCATCCAAAAATTTTCTTTTGTACATTCAACACCAAAGCAAAAACAATACTTCAAGGTACAATGCACATCTAAAAAATACTTTGAGATATTGGATGCACCACAAAATACTTTAGGATACTAGATCACTTGAAAAAATATTTTGAAGTACTGGATGTATCTTAACTCAACAATAAATAGGTAAAACTCGTTCTTATAGAGAATAAGTTGCTTGTTTTTTTAAGAACCGCACTAGTCAAGAATAATTTTAGATTTAGTATGCTAGTAAATAATTTTCACAGCATAGTATTCTGATAATTAATTTTACTTTTACTGTTTATAGCAATTGGCTAAAAAAAACAGCATGTGACTTTAACGAATAATTTTAAATGAATGCATGAAACCCTTTGGTGAAAAGCATCATCCTGATACCGACGTTATAAACAAAAATCAACCTTGCAATATTGGATAAAAGAAACCCGAGGAACATACATGGAAATAATGAGAGAGAGAATTCTAAAATTCTGTTTGATACGAAATATTGACAATGAGAGTAATGATTGAGATTGAAAAATATATGTTAAAAGAATATTTAATATGAGAGATTGTTTATTACTTGAGACTGGACAAATCCAAACATGTGGAATTAGAAAATATCATGAGGGGAGATGGTATTTCCTAATCCCACTTACATGGGATTGTCTAATCTTATCTTACAAGAAATTACTCATAATAAATACTTTTTAATGTTTTTTCTCAATCCTAATCTGAACATCAATCCTTACCCCTTAAATTTTAATGCTTCATGCCAAACATAACTTAAGTGTTGCTTGGTTAAGTGGTGTGAGTTCAAATAAATACGTTTGAACTCAAATAAGTAATTATATAGCCCATTCATCTCGTTTGGCTAAATTTTTTTGAAATCCTGATAAATTGTGATTTCAATCTAAGAATTTATTCAAAGTATATTTTTAAATTTTGATTTAGTATTTTAATTGAATTAATAAAAAAATTTCCTTAAAAAGTCAGGCTAAAAATAAATTTGAAAGAAAAGATCAACTTAATGCTTGATAAGAAATAAACGTCTACCAAATGTCTTTCAATTTAATGGGTGATCTATTTTGAAGCCGATTATATGTTGCAGGAATGTATTTTTTCCCCGAAATTTTAAATAAGAAAAAAAATTGTATCAAAGTATTTTATATGTTGATAACAAAAGGCCTAAATCATAAAATCAATGTATTAATATTCTATATGCACACAATTTGCAAAATACCAGTCCTAGGTCTTATAAAAAAGATTGGACCAAAACAAAAAGATCTGTATACAAATGTATCAACTCTTTCTTATTAAAAAAAATTTCCAATTGAAGACTTTTCCCAGACTTAAAATGTTTTTTTATAAAAATTAAATAAGAAATAATTATGAATATATCTCAAATATCCAAATTGCTTTGCCTCTGCCCTATTTTCTTTGTTGTATGATATAAAAAAAGTTTTAATTTTTGGGGTAAATCCGTAAATGCCCTTTTAAAAGAGCATTAAATGCGCAAGGCGGTAACTCAACTCAAGGAGGCACCATTCCAACGCTGGAAGCAGGTAAAGGTCGCTCTGTTTTCAGCGCGGCTTTTGGATCATCTTTAAAAAGAAGTTCTTTTAAAGCCGTTCCAAAACAAAATGACCCAAACTGACTTTTGTGTCCAAAAGTTACTTTTCAGAGTCCCATCTCTGAAGCTTTGCAGTTGAGAAGTATAAGCGAAAAATCATACTCACCGTCTTTCAATACACTAATTGACCTGAAGTTTATGGAAAGGTCCTTCCTTGATACTTGCACGGATCCGATCATACGTATGACAAATTCTATTTTCTGAGCATACTTCTGCAATCACGTTTAGTGGCCATAGACCTGATATCTACAAAACGACCCCTTGATGATGGTTTGGTCTCTTTGCATTAGAGGCACAAAGGAGCAAGATGGAAAATGCAGATCTAGGAGATTGATGTTGAGGTAAAAGGATGGGAGGATGCGAAATAGCAGTAGAGGAATTCAGAATAATAGTTGGCAAGTAAGAAGCTACGTGGAAGCTAAAAACAAATAATCGGTAACGATGCAGTCACAGTGAAATGAAATCCTGCTCTAATCCACAGTGAAATGAAAAACTCTAAGTAGAATGCCATTTTCTAGGTTAAGGATGCCTCTAACGATGGAATTAGGATGAAGTTGAGCCTTTACAATAGCTAGACCAACATTGTAAATCATGAGAGAAGGAGTGGTAGTGAGAAATCACTGTAGTTGAGCTGATTTCATATGGAACGAATCTGGTCCTTTCAACCTGGGAATTCGGTCTATCCTGTCCAGCAAATCACAGTCATTGCCTTGATTTCACAATTGCAGGCATCAATAAAGTGATAGACTTATTTCATGTTCTCCAAAACATTGTCAGGGAGACCCTGCTTTCTGGCCCTAACGATATTTTCAAGGTTCTCACATATTGCAAGCTATTAACTAGTTGTCGATTGAGTTTTGTGCTCGTAACAGGCAAAATTGAAAATTTCAAGGGTGACTTCCCACCAAAATTGAGAAAGCACCCAAGTTGCTATCTGCCTCAAGTAGACTGTGTAGGCAACCAATGTAAGTGTGGGAGAAATTGAAAATTTCAAGGGTGACTTCCCACCACCAAAATTGAGAAAGCACCCAAGTTGCTATCTGCATCAAGTAGACTGTGTAGGCAACCAATGTAAGTGTGGGAGAAAGAGACAGGTTCCCCAGGGGAATCTAATAAGGAAAAGGAAACAACAATTGGTCTAACCTTCTTAGAACTAGTTGGGAGACAATCCTTTTAGCTTCTTCTAGCTGCTACTTCTGTTGTTTATCTGACTCTGTCCATAGTCCTTGACAGAGACTCTAATAACGCTTAAAAAAGAGGATACAATCAAATAAGAACTCGACACCTGCCAATCCTAGCGTCGAGGAGGTGATTAGAATATGTTCTCTGGAGCCTAGAAAGCCCATTGTCATCAGAGATGGAATGGGAAATTAGATTGAAGGTTTGCTTGGCATGGCTATTCTTCTAAAGGTGCCATGCCATCAGGCGATCCAAGGGAGAAAGGAATGTGAATTGCCTCTTATAGGAGTGTGGGAAAGCAGGCTTTTAAGCCAAGCTATTCTTTCGGCACTTTGGGTAATCGCGCTTGTAGCCTGATTAGCAAGGCAGGGCAGGCAAGGTATGACGATGATTTCCAGCATCTTCTGGAATTGCTGCAACTGATAGTCAGAAAAAAAGATCTGAAAACTACTCTTCAGGAATAAGTTTGAATTTTATTGCTTTTTGGAGTACTTTGGGCGTAAGTACTTCGCTAGCTTTCTGCCTATTTTGCAATGCATAGTTCAGATGTCGGTGATGTTGGTAGGAGTATGGACAAAAAGAGGGACCTTCCACACCTATGAAACTATCAAGGGAAGGACCTCCACATAAACCTTCCTATAGATCAACAATAATAGTGAATGATACACAAGATGATCCTACACCTAGATCTTTCAACTGCAAAACAGCATAGTAGTCCCCTGCAAAAGTAGCTTTATTTTGGAGCTGACAAAATCTAATGAAATTATCCAATTCATCATTCAACTTGTTTTGTTATACAAGCTTACGACAACTGTCTGAGGAAAAAGAATTATAAACAATCCCCGAATATCATCACCCTTATATCTATATTTTAGCTAGAGGCAAAGATTTTCCCTTAAACCCATTTGCCCTCCTCCAGTCTAAAGTGTGTCATTCAACATCTTTATGATTTGTTTAACTATTAGTTAAGCATCGTGCGATATCCACCATCCGAATTTTAATGAAAACAAGAAACGAATGTTTGAATAATGTAGATGTAATTGTTAAATGCTTGTTTCATTCATAGATTGAATATTTTTACAATGTTCTAAACCTGTTTTGACCTGTTATAATAGCATCAGCAAACTATTACCAGTAAAAACAAGTTATCACATAAGTTATACCAAGAGTTCAAACCATCACAAACAAAGAAACAATCCCTCCCACAGCGAAAAGTACTTCAGCAGAGTTCTTTGGAGGCAAATAATTGTTCTCACCAGGAAACCAAGGCTAACGACAATGCAATAGTTATTCATATCAGGCCTACTGCTAGAATTGAAGTCCAATATATTAAACACAAATTCCAACAAGCCCACATAATAAACTTAAAGGGCTGCGTTCCATGAAGACAACCATTAAACGCAACAAGTTTCTGTCTTTCTAATGTCACCAAATTGGATAGACATTATTGAAACCAATAAAGAAAACCAACAAGCCTAATTTCACAAAAAATCCTAGGGAATATCCCAGGGTTTTGGTTCAGGGACTGCAACGACCATACCTTGAAGCTCCGGAGTGAGCACAACCTGGCATCCAAGGCGAGAATGCAGGTTCAAAACCCTAGACCTAGAGTTCCGTTTGAGCACATACTCCTCATCGTAGGATCGAGGAGGGAGTCTCTCCAACCACTCTTGAGCGATGTTGACCTCACACTCAGCAGAAACAAGCGTCGATCTCTTCAAGGCGGTGAGACTCGGGATCAATGAGGCCAGTGTGGTCAAGGCCTTGAGGAGAGTCTGGCCGGCAAGACCGACGACCTCGCGCTTCTGGCCGTAGGGATCGATGGCGAAGAGCCTGACGATACGATCAGAGACCTTGTTGGGAGGAGGAGGAGGAGGAGGAGGAAGACGAAGCAGAAGATCTGGAAATCAGGGATTTGGAGAAGAAAGAGAGCGAAGGAAGACAATGGATTTGAGAGGAGAGCCTCTGGAGATTCGCTACGGCCATTGTTGCGAAACTGTGGGCGTGTTTTGTGGGTTCTGAGACGAAATTGAACTGGTAGCACCACCATCCTACGCACGTGCCAAGAATGCCTCACACGTACTCCTCCAATTTCCGGCCAATATATACTCCCCGGTCCTTATTATAAGACCTAATTTACTTTTTATTTGGTCCTAATTATAAGACCCAATCCATTTTCTATCTTATATTTATACATTTTTTTCCAATAATCCTTCTAATAATGAAGTTTTAGCCAATATTCTTAATTAGATATTTTAGGAATAACAACACTTATTATTATAAATAACCAACTTAATATCTCCTAATAAGTATTGGCTTAAATTAATAAATATTTTACAATTAATAAAGAGTAATGCGTGATATCATAATTCAAGAAGAAATCAGGTTACTTGGCCTTGTGTTTTTAATGAAATGGAAAAATAATAATAATAAATGAAAGAAGGTAGTCCCTCCGTCTCTTATTATAAGATACTTTTAACTAAATTATGTAGTTTAATAAAATAATTAAAATTAGTTAAAAGTAATTAATATGTAGCAAAGGTATTTTTTTTTCAAATATACCCTTATATATAAATGGGTAAATGTGAGAGAATAATAGTGAAATAAACGAAGAAAGAGAATGTATTAAATGTATTAAATTAGGGATAAAATAGATAATAATATATTAAATAATCAGATAAACTCAAAGAGGATTTTATTAAAAAAGATAGATCCATCCAAACTCAAAGATGATTTTATAAAAAGGAACAGACCCATTTTAAAAATTAGATCTTATAATAAGAGACGAAGGGAGTAACTATTCAGATTGAATTTTTTTTTTGGTCATTGAATAACATTAATAAAAAAATATATAAATCTTCTTAAGTAATGGTAACACTAATACACTATTCCAAAAATTGAAATTAATCACATGCAACATTTGTCAATACTAACAAAAATATTTGTTTTAAAATACTAAAATTTAATTTAGACCCATATTTTTGATGAATTCTTAATTAAGAACTTGTGAATGCTGTTAAAAGACCAAAGCACCCATTTGTAGAAACACTACAAGAAAATAGCAAGTTAGCAGCGGAACATTTCTAGCGATTCAAACAAAACCGCTACAAATTTACATATTTCTAGCGGTTTTACAACAAACCGCTAGAAATTAGCATCGCTTTGACCATAAAGACTGTGGGGCCCACAATTTTCTAGCAGTTATATGCCAACCACTAGAAAATCACAACCAAAACTCTTCCCGGGTTTTGGCGCGAACTTGGCGCCAAAATTCTATTGTTTATTTTCTAGCGGTTTGGGTGACCACACCGCTAGAGAATGCAAAGAGTCGTCCAATTTTCTAGTGGTTTGGTGAACCGCTAGTAAATCATACACTTTTCTAGCAGTTTTGTCGAAAATCGCTAGAAAATATTTAATTTTCCCGAGGTGGTTTTAATAACCGTTAGCAGTTTCTAGCGATTGTCGCCAAAACTGCTAGAAATGTCTAGCGGTTAACTCAGAAACCGCTAGAAAATTTGTATATTTCCCAAGGTGCCCTAAATGCGGCGGCCAACGGTTAGACTTTTCTAGCAGTTTTAGCGATAACCGCTAGAAATTTCTGGCGGTTTGGGTAAAACTGCGAGAAATTCGCTATCTATATATACCCCCCACGGTCATTTTCACTGTTTCGTTCGTTCGTAAAGCAAAGTTCTGCCGAATTCTCTCCACAAAACATATCCGAGTTTGGATTCAGTTGCAGATCCCTATTTTCAAGTAGAAATAGTAATTTATTTATAAATAATTTCTATTCTTATTTTTTAATTTAATTTATTTTATTTTTGTTTATAAATAATTTCTCTTTTTATTTTATTTATAAATAATTACTATTTGTTGTTATTAGGATGAGTCGTCGGCCAGGGAAGACGCCAGTTGATCCTGAGAGGGTAGGACCCAGTGAGGATCATCGTGATGGTGGTCATGATGCTGGTGAGCCATTCCCCAGCATTCATGACTATGATCTCAACGAGGAGAATCTCCTCAGCTTTGTGGAGCAGGACGATATCGAGCGAACTGAGGAGGCTCATTTTACTGGAGATGAACAACCCCATGCTGATGCTGATGCTGATGCTGCTGAGGAGGAGGAGGAGGAGGAGCAGGTTCAGGGGAATGAGAATCCCCATGCTGAGCAGCGTCCTGCTCCCAGACGTCAGGCCGGTTTTGAGGTGAAATTTGAGGGTAAGTATTTATTTAACTTTTTTAAATTTGACAACTATTTAATTTATATAGAAATTGTTTTAATTCATTGATATATAATTTATTTCTTAATTAAATTTTGTAGACTCTGAGGGGAACAGGTCCTATAGGAGGCTGACAGCCAAAGAGTTGTCTATGATGACGAGCGGACGGGTGGTTGTGCTGCTCAATGAGTTGGGCCAACCGACGAAGAAAGGTGGCCAATTGTACAAGTACATGCGCCTCCTTGGTCAGCAGTGGACGCTGTTCCCCATCTACGTGCAGGACTGGAAGAAGATCACCTTAGAGAAGAAACAGCAAGGTTGGGAAATGATGAAAGTAATATAAAATTATTATTTATAATTTTTAATTTAAATAAATGATTATATATTTTGTTTTCAAATTATTTAATTGTTTGATTGTAATTTTTATTTATTTAATTTATTTGTTATTTATATTTTTAAAGTAGTTGAACGAATATATATATATTTTATTTAAATTACTTTATTGTTTGAAAATAATTTGTTATTGATTTCATTAATTTATTACTTATAATAATTTTAAATCAGTTGAGTAAAATATTTTTTTATTGAAATTGCTTAATTGTTTTGTTTATAATTTGTTATTTACTTAATTTATTATTTTAATCACAGAGTAAATTTATACTGGGGGAGGAGTTGAGGGCCGACACGATCAAGAGGCTTGGGGTGGCATGGAAGAACAGGAGGGCCGACCTGTGAAGGGAGAAGAAAGGTGACGGGACGAGGCCCCTGCAGGAGATACCGGCAGATGTACCTGGTGGAGTCCTGGAGCAAGACTGGTCCAGTTACGTCTATTTTAGGATGTCAGCTGACCAGATGGTATGATAATATTGTATTAATTATAATTTCTTTATTTTTTGTCCAATTTGACTAATTTAATTTAATTTTTTTCCATTTTCCTTCAGGCTCTTTTCGCGAGAAATGCTGGGAGTGTCAGGCATCAGACGATACGTCATAGGGCTGGATCCAGGAGCTTTGCGATCACCTATGACGAGATTGTGAGTACTTGAAATAAATTTGTTAAATATGTATATGTATTTAATTTGTAACTAATTATTTCTTTCATTTCATTTACAGAGGGAAAAGACGCAGCAGGAGCGGGGATACACGCCCACTTATGGCGAGATGTGGCCGATTTTGTATAGACCTCGAGATGGGCGTGCGTCGGATGAGGTTGAGGAGATAGCGGTAAGTAATGAGTTAAATATTAATATAATATCACAGTATAAATATCATTTCATACTAATTAGCCTCTTTATATTAATTTTGATAGGCATGGATGACTCAAGTCGATACCGAGCTGCGTGAGTCTCAGGGGTCTGCCTTGGATCCCACCGCCTCACTTTTAGCGGGTTGTGGCCGGGCGTAGCACCCTGGTCGAGTTAGGGGCTCGGACTTGGACCTACACTAACTAGGTTGCCCTGCTCAGGTGGTACTGTCCCTTCATATATTGCGGGGAGCTCTCGGGCAAGCGCGGGAGCGAAGCGGCTAGGTTCCTCATCTTCAGAGGAGTTGCGAGAGGAGCTCAGACAAGAGTTGGAGGCCAGCATCGAGGCCAGGGTGGAGGCCAGGATCAGGGAGCGTGATCGTCAATTGCAGGAGCGTGATTGTCAGTTGCAGGAGCGTGATGCTCAATTCCAGTTACAGCTTGACCAGTTCAAGGCAGCTGCTACGGCTATGCGTGATGTGATGATCAGTATGGCTTCAAACATCTCGATTCCTGAGATCCCCGACATATGTCTACCACCAGTCCCACCCCTGCCCCCCATTAGCCAGTCTAGCCCCTGCACGTTCAGCAGCCTGCCCACCATCAGCAGGAGGATCCAGCGGAGGACGATCACGATGATGCTGCTTCTACCCCTTACCCCTGATTTCCCCTATTTTCATTGTATATGATTTTATTTGAATTTTGATTTTATGATTTTATATTCTATTTAGATATTTATTTAAATTTTATGTTTATTTGTTTACTTTAATTATTTATTTCTATAATTTTATTTATGTCAAGTATTAATTAACATTAAAATATTTATTAATTTATTACTATATAAACATTAAAATTTATTAAGTATGTTAAACATGTTAATTAATTAAAATATTTCTACAATTTATTTCTATAATTTAAATATTTCTATAATTATTTATTAATTTATTAATTAAATTTATTAATTATTTATTTGTATAATTAAAATATTTCTGTAATTTATTAATTACTATATAAACATGTTAAACATATATTCTTTTAACATTAAAATTTATTCTTGAAATATGTATTTTAACATTTAACAAATCATAGAATTTATTAATTTAATAAATATTTATAAATATTAATAATTTGTTAATAATTTTGTTTATATCAAGTATTAATTAATACATTATACTAAAAATGTTAATAATTTATTGTGGAGTATTTAAAATACTTTTGAAATATTTACTTTTTAAAAATATTATATTATTTAACCGCTAGAAAATTCAAGTCAAATTCAAATTTTCCTCCTCGAGTTTCTAGCGGTTTATAACCGCTAGAAAATAAGAAAATTTGTAGCGGTTCTAAACCGCTAGAAATTGTATAACCGTTGTCACATTCAGATTTCATCATGGCACGAATTTTCTAGCGGTTATGAACCGCTACGAAAATTTCTATTCGTTGAAACCGCTAAAAATTTCTAACGGTTAATAACCGCTACAAAAAATTAATCGTTACATAACCATTGGCAGCCTCCTTTATAAGCTAAAACACTCCAACTGAAATTCATTTTAACTTCTCTTTGAGTTTCCTATGTCATATGTTCACGAAATTTGAGCAATATTAGTGATGGACCGGTCATGGATCAACTTACACCGGTCGTCTCCGCAATACCTAGCTGGTCTAAGCTATTTCTTAGATTTTGCTTTTGCCAATGCTGCTGTAAATGGTAAGATTCAGTGTCCAGGTCCTAAATGTAATTTCAAGAAGTAGCATCCCAGAGATATTGTTAGAGAACATTTGATCTTTAAGCCCTTCCCGCAAGAGTACGTATTTTGGCAACTATATGGGGAACGGCCAGATATGGTTGCTGAGTCAGTTCCAATTCAAAAATTTAATTTCCCAGAAAAATTTGATTTGGTTCAGAACTTTCTGGCGGTTATATAACCGCTACAAATTTTTTTGCTTTTTCCAGCGGTTTCTATCCGCTAGAAATTTCGTCTCCTACTACTATATTTTTCTAGTGGTTAATTAACCGCTAGAAAGTTTCTGATGTTTTAACCATACTGTGTAGCGGTTGCAATAACCGCTAGAAATTTTTTCTTGCACTTGATTTTCTAACAGTTTTTGTAACCGCTACAAATGTTATTTGTTGTGGTTAAAACCACTAGAAATGTCTTATTTTAACCGCTACAAAATACATATTTTTTTGTAGTGAAAATTGAAGGTAGTTTCTCCATAACCACAAATTCTTTCTCTTCCACAATTCTTTTTATTTCAATCATTTCTTTTTTTCTCTCCCTTATACTCTTTCTTCTCCCATAAATATTGAGTTTTTTTTTTTAAGGAAAAAAGTTACAATAATCAACTATATTCTTGAAAATTTGAAATACCCGATTCGTTTAAAAACTGGTCAAGTATGAGATTATGATATTTGAATATATTTAATTAACGAGATTTGAATAATACTTTGATTAAAATTTAGATGTATTGAATTAAATGAGAACATTATTAGTAAATGGATTTTCAATTGGAGGCTCAACTGAAGAAACTAATAATTAATTTTGAATTTGAATAATATCTTAATTGGGATTTGAATATATTGAATTAAATAGAAAGTATCATAATTAAATAGTATGTCAATTAGGGGCCTAAATGGATAAATAAATAAATAATTTTAAATTTCTATATGTTGTCCCTAAATTTTGCATACCTAATTCAAATCTTATTTGAATGAATAAAAAAATTATACTCCTATAAGAAGTGAACATTGATTAAAATTTAAAATCTAATCAAATATTCTAATATGTGCATTGCACAAGAAGAAATTTCTAATTTTTATGTATTTACTGTTTTAAATAAATTTTAACGAATATTTTCATCAACATCATTGAATTAATTGTTTCTTTAAAAAAAAAAAACAAAGGGAGTAGTATATTATTATTCAAACTCCATTACATTATGAAGGAATAAAATGATAATCAAGTACTCCCTTCCATGTCGAGGAGTTAGTTGAGATGTTTATTTTGATTATAAATTAAAAATCCCAATCTATTTTATTCACAAATTTATGATTCTTTTTTTAAACAATCTTATATTGCTTGCAAATACTAAAAACATTTTTATTAATGAGATAAAGGACTTACAACTAATTCTCACACACAGTAATAAAAACAATTAAAAGCTTTAAATTAATTTAGAAATTTATTATTATGAAGGGTAAATTAATAAACAAAAAGTATTTCAACATAAATTTTAATTAAAAAAGCATCTTTTAAAAGTATTCTTAATGGAGTTAACAGTTTGGATTTAAATGTATATTTTTAAAATAGAAGAGAGGGCCATGTAATTAATACAAAATATAAGAAAGATTAGAGTATTTTACTCTAAAATTTAAATGACTTCTAAAAATACCCTCTTTTGGAGTGAATCAAACATTCCCTTTATTAACTATACTAATTAAATCTCAACATAATATTAATTTCTACTTTTTCTCACTATCCTTATTAAATATAGATATATATATATATATATGAAAAAAATATTTAATACTTATTGTTGAAACTATCAAAAGGTCTTAAAAAATGGACACAAACAAAAAAAAATCTAGAAGGTACCCTAGAAAAGAGTAGTTTTAAACACAAATGATTAAAAAATATTTTTAAGAAAACTCACACATATTTAATATAAATAACCAAATTAATTAAATTCTTAAAATTTTTATATATAAATTATCTAGGTCTTAGTTTTAAAAGTGAATGGAGTGATTACTTCCTTCCTCTCTTTTTTTTTTTATAAGCAACAACTATTATATCCTTCTTGTCTCTAAATATAAACAACGTTTGTAGGTCATCTTAAATTTTTATAGCAAATTTTTTATTTTGTTCCCACTAATTATTTATTTTAATACTCAATATATTTATCATCTAATTTTTCAAACTATCATCTCTCCCCTTCACACATTTCTCTCTTTCATAATTTTTTATTATAATATTTTTTATTCTCTTTTTGGTACTATCTCTCCCATAAATAAGAGTATTTTGAAGAAATTTTTTTTCAAATTCTACCCATTTATTATCTTTAATCAATTTTAACTAACTTTTTAATCTACATAATGACATCTAATGTTACTTATAAAAAAGGACGGAGGGATTAACATATACCTCCAATATTAAATATAAGAATTAGTTAAAAATTCAATTTAGTTTTAAATATAATATTTTAATTCATTTTGTTACTCATATTTATTCATTTTTTCTCAAAATAGTTCCCATAGTGATTGTATATTGAAGAGTTTTCATCCTAATGCATATGATCAATAATAATATTTTAAGGAAGACAACTTTAATTTATTACAAATAACTAATTTAACTAATTTTTTTAATATTTGTAAATCAGTTATCTAATTCTTATTATATCAAGGACTTGAGGTAGTATATCATAGGTATATTAGCTCGCGGAGATTGGTTCAAAAGACAAGATATTGACAAAAATTCAAGATTTTTAATAGTCCCTCCAATCTTTATTATAAGTTTTAAATAACTAATTTACAGATAATGAATAATTAATTAAAATTAGCTAAAAGTAATTAATAGGTTAGAAATATATTTTTTATGTTTAAATATGCCTTTATAATAAATGAAAAAAAGAATGAAAGAGAATATATGGAGAAATATGATAAGAGAGATTATGACAAAGAGAGAATAAATAATTAACAGTAAAATTAAAAAAATACATTAAATATTAAAACAAATCCAAATTGAAAATTATAAAATGAACTATATCTGTTCACAAATTTAAAGCGTATAAATAAGACCAGAGGGATTACTTTATTTCTTTCTTAGTTTCACCTTGTGCAATTTAGTTAATTATAAGGGGTAAGCATATTGCAATATACAAGAGAAGATCAAAACCACAAGGCAAGCGAAGTATCAGATGCAAAGCAAACAAAACAAGGTAATGAAAGCTCTCACATTAATTACGACCCATATGTGTGTGTGTATAAATATATGCAGCAACACTTGAACTAGCATCATATCCATGGCTGATATAAACCAATCACTGCATACATTTGAATGTTGAGGAGAAGGAGAGCAGAGACAAACATTGACAAAACCAAAAAATGGCAGAGAGTTCAGGTAGAGCATCAGTGCGCTTGAAACGTATGATTTCAACTCGTTTGTCACGAAAACGTAGTGATGTTTCTGCTCATCATCCTCGTCATCAGAAACCAATCATTCTGAAGGGAACGTTCGTAGTAGCGGTCCAGAATGAAGGCCAATCAGCAGCAGCAGCAGCAAAATCGGCTTCTGTTCAGATTTATAGTGGCACTGAAATTGATCCAAGTAAGCTCCTTAGTACTCCTCTAGTCTTTAATATAAGACCTAATTAGGGAGATAATGTGTAAGACCTATTTCATATGTTTATCAAATTGTTTTCTCAGATTAACCTTAATACTCCCTCAACTATAATCAACTAGGAGAAGAAAGGAGAAAATTAAGAAAGATATTTAGGATCTATTTGGTATGAGGAAAATCAAGAGGAGGGGAGGGGAGGGAAAATTTTAACAAGTTCGATTTAAAAAATAAAAAAATTGGGTTAAAAGCTTTTAATTAATTTTTATCGGTCTTTTATATTACTTTTTCTTTGTATTAAAATTTCAAAACTCTACTTTTCTAATTTTTTAAATAGAGCTCGTTAAAATTTTTCTTCCCCTCTCCTCTCCTCCATTTTCCTTATACCAAACAATACCTTAGGGTGTTTTAGAAAGAGTATATTATATTAACTAATTTAACTAATATACTCAACTATTTAAATTAGTTAATTAACTCCTACGCTAAGAAGCATAAAGAGTATGTTAACACAAGTTCTGCAATATATATATATGTGTGTAACCAGGAGGGCAAGAGATTTCTAATGCCCCAACTTCCCAAATGTTTTTTTTTTTAATATTTTCTATTGATTAGAAGATTTTCTCATGCTCATAATTTCATGAGCTCTCTATATACATTGCCAACTAAAACATGTGCCAAAGTTAGCATTGCAGACAAAGTGGTCCAATGAATGGAAAATTTGTAATCCAAGAATATATCTATTCAAATTAATTGATTATTATTTCTTGTTTATAATATAAGAACCAGATAACTAATTTATTAATATTAAAAAATTAGTTTATTTATTTATTTACAAGGTGTATTTGAGTTTCCTTAAACTTCTTTCTTTGATCATGTGTTTTAGAACTACTCTTGGGAACCTCCTTATGTAATATGTGCAATGAATAGGATATATATTTTTGGAAAAAAATTATAACTTTATGAGGTAAAATGAATTGTAGCCTTATATTTAAAATCAAAGTAAATCCCTTGTCTAAATTTTATATTTGACTAGATGTCTTCCAAAAGATTTGTAAGGCGCACATATTTGATTTTATTGAACTTCTATACGAATTGTTTAATTAATTAATGGTTTTTAAATTTGATAAACTGTTAAATTAATTAATTATTTAATTAACTGAATGAATTGCATTGAACAGAGACAGGCAAAGGGAAGCTGAGTGACGTGGCACATTTAAAAGGTGGAAAGAGGAAGAAAAACGAAGGCACAGAAACAGAAACCCTAATAACATACAGAATAAGAATACGTGTGGACTTAAACTTTGGGACTCCGTTGGCCTTTCTGATACAGAACCAACACAAGAAGAACAGATTCTATCTTCAACATGCCTCCATTGAAACTCCAAGCAACCAGATTATTCACTTCCTTTGTAATTCTTGGATATACCCTTTCAAGAACACCAAATCTCATCGCGTTTTCTTCTCCAACACTGTAAGTTTCAGATCACCCATCATTTTGATCCACTGTTTTTCTTTTTCTTTTAAAGAACATAAATAACTAAATATCAAAAATATCACAAGCATTAAAAGGTTCCTTATTAACAAGTAATAATAACTATCTTTTGATCTACTGTTAACTTACGTCACATGATTCATTCAAGAGTATAGCATCATTTAGAAAAACTGAGGGCTTGATAATGTGTGATTTACACTTGGAGGAGAGGTTGAGCAAATAAATTTTGAAAATGAAACAGAAGCTTGCGTTTATGTTGACAAAGTTCTTGATTCATGCTATAGTTATACATATTTATTTTCTCTTTATTTTTCAGAATATTTAGATATTACTCTAAAACAAAGAGTAAGTTATATAGAAAGCTTCCTTAACAACAATAAAACCCGAGGTAAGTCATTTTTTTAATACATGAGAAGTCTGTAATTCATTTAGTTTATTCTTGTTCTCTATCATCTATCAATTTTGTTATCTATTAAAGAATGAATTTGAATCACCCGAAATACTTAAAGGAATAAAGTTAGGAGATAAGATACATGTAAATCTCACATGAGCAAGGCTTACTTGAAGTGGTAATATGAGTCAGCCTATAAGTCATAAGCGGGCAAGAGGCTAAGCTTGGCTTGTCTCTTGATGGGTTGGAAAAATTCCAATCCAATCCGGTATCCCTCTCTCTCAGACACACTTTTTATTATAAATTACTTTAAAGGACGAAAAAATCCCATAAAAAGAAATTTGAAATTACTATAAATTCCGAATAGGAATTTTTTTTTAAAAACAAGTGTTATTATTTACAAGCCCAGTATTGTCAAAACCTATTAAAGTGTTGTTAACATACTTAATTTAAGGTTTAGTAATTTCAAGCTTATTTTGTGGAATTCTCCTTCAAAGATCCTCTCCAATACAATTACATAACAATCATGTGTATGCTGTGGAGATAGTGTTATATTCCAAGAGAAACACCAAGAGGATTGATTGAGCTGAGGAAGGAAGAAAGCGAAAGGATGAGAGGGAATGGAGAATCAGGAGAGAGAAAGGAATGGGACAGGATATATGAATATGAAGTGTACAATGATCTTGGTGATCCTCAAAACCCTAGACCAGTGTTGGGTCGTTCCAGGTGGCATCCTTATCCTCGCAGACTCAGAACTGGACGACAACCTGCTTCATCAAGTATGTCATTATTAATTAGTTTCTTCCCTTTTGATTTTAACTTGATATCTCTTTTTATAAGATTTGAAGGCTCTAGTTTAATTTTCTGTTAGATTTTTTTTAATCCGTTTTGATACATTTTTATTTGATTCTTCACCTTTATATTATCATGCTGCATTATTCAACCAAACTTTTAAAATAATATTCCTTCCGATCCTAAATATGTGGTCACTAGTTAATTAGGAAATTTATTTTAATCTTAAATATAAAACATCAATCCACTTAGCCTCTCAAATTTATAATTTTCTCCCAACTATTTATGTTAATTGCATATATTAAGAAAGCAATTCGCTCACAGGATATTTTTAATGCAAATGATTAAATAGGGCATTTTAGAAAAACAAACCATCATACATTTTTAACAAAATAACTAATTTATCTAACTTTCTTAATATTTGTAAATCAGCATCTAGTTCCTGTATTAGAAACCAGAGGGAGTATCATTTCACTTAACTCAACAAATAATGCATGTGACAGAAGAATAACAGATCAAAATTTATACACTACTAGCTAGTATTTCTATTCTAATTGGCCTAGCTAAAACTTGATATGAATGATAGGCATGTCAAGTGAGAGCAGACCAGAATCAATGCTTTGGAGTATATATGTTCCTGCAGATGAAAGATGCAGCCCCAAGAAACTTAAAGAGTTGCAATCAAAAGCAGTCCAAGCTTTTGTTTACTTTGTGATTCCAGAATTGAAGTTACTACTTGAGGAAGATTCAGATGATGAATTTCAATCATTCCAAGAGATACTAAACCTTTTCTCTCCCAATAGAGATCGCAAAGTTGAAGGAAGTTTCAAAGACACAATAAAGAATACTCTTGTGCCTCAGCTTGCCAATGCAATCACTCGCCATGCTTCCCAGAAGAGTCCTGTGCATTATCCTCTTCCTCAAATAATATCTGGTAATAATCTCACTTATCATCACTTATAGAATATTAAATTTAATTCACAAGCGTTAGTTTTAGTGGAAGAGGCTATAGTCAAATTAAGTAAGAAGTTTTCTGTTGGAGTCCTAAAAGATGCATATGAAAATGCATTAAGGTGAACTACTCTCAATTGAGTCCAATAATGCTTGAATCTCAAGCAAGTGAAGCCCACCTCCCTTTTTTTTTTAAAAAAAAAAGATCAATGATAATTCATAATTTTGATGGCATTTTTGAGTTTTAGTAAATTATATTATAAGCTAGTCTAATGGGTGCGTGTGTGTGTGTGTGTGTAATTTTTAGAAAATGAATGGGCTTGGATGGATGATATGGAATTTGCAAGACAGATGGTTGCAGGAATTCACCCATTGAGAATCCAGCGCTTGAAGGTAATTTTTCTTCTCTCTTTTCCATGTTATGATGCCACGATTGTACTTTATAGAGAAATACTTCTAATATTATTAAACTAAATTTTTTTTGGGAAATGTGGGTTAAATAAAAATGCTAATTTTAAAATTAATTTTTAAATTCAGGAAAGAAAAGTTTTACAAGTTCAGCTATTAAACATTATTGTTAAATTCAGAAGGACGTGATCACTTGTAACAAATTTTAATTGCAATTTAATGTTCTTATTTTATTTAATGATGTAAGGAAATATTTCATCCCAACTTTTCAGAGATTCCCACCTCAAAGCAAAAATGGAGTGGTCAGTTCAATAGAATCCACGCACATAGAACACAACCTTGAAGGCCTGACATTACTCCAGGTACGTAATGCAATCTTTCATAATTCAGAATATTTACAGCTATAAAATAATTATACTCCCTCCAGTCTTAAATGTAAGAACTAGTCAAGTGATTTATTCTGATTTTAAATGTAAAAACTTGATTCATTTTATCTCCCAAATTTATAACTTTTTTCCCAAACAATCCCTGTTGATTACATACACTAACGCTGTGTTTGGCTCGATGGAGGGAAGGGGAGGGGAGGGATTTTAATCAAGGGAAGGGGAGGGAAGGAAAGGGGAGGGTAGCTACAAAGGGGAGGGGAGGGAGGGGGAAGGGAGGGGAGGGATTTTAATGATCTCCTGTTTGGATTGATTGGAGGGGAGGGGAGGGAGTAATTTTAATATTACCTTATTTTGTTCTAATAAAAATTGACTATTTTAGCCTCATAAAATTTAAATGAATTTTCTCACTTTTTTTATTTTGTTAAGATATAACTATATATATAATACAATTCACCAATTTTGATTTACAAGACATAGTCACACACTTATAGAATATCAAGATAAAAAGTCACGAGTGATAGATTTCAATCAGAGAAAAGACCTTGAAGGTGAAAGAAAATACCAACAACCTCTTGGAATTAGAAGAAGAGAAAAAAAAAAGTTTACAAATGCTCAATAATTTTGGAGACAATTATCTTAATAACCTCTTGTTAGATGCTCAAAAAAACTCTTATGTAGAAATGTTTATGACTGATTAGAGGTTAACAAATCAAAAGGGTATATAAGGAATTGAAATATTATCTCTCATCTCCCCTCCAAAAAACCCTACTTTTGGAGGGGAGGGGAGAAGAATCCATCCCCTCTTTAAAAAACATCTTAACCAAACGAGGAGCCCCTCCCCTCCTAAAAAATTACACCAGCCAAACAAGGGGAGGGGAGCAACTCCACTCCCCTCCCCTCCAAAAATCCCGTACCAAACATAAACATAGCGTAAGGGGTTTTCATCAACAAGGATAGTTTTCAATGTAAATTATTAAAGATGATATTTTAAGAATACCAACATATATTTACATGAAAAATTAACTTAACCAACTTTCTTAATTTCTACAAATAAATTATGTAACTCCTAAATTTAAGACCGAAAAGAGTATGTTATACAAAATCACATAAAGAGCTTCATTCTTTCATAATAATATAGTTTAACACAATATATTGATTGAATGATTGTGTGTCAGGCACTGCAGGAGGGGAGAATACTCATACTGGACCACCATGACTATCTGATTCCATTCTTAGACAGAATCAACACAAATGAAGTGTGCGCCTATGCATCAAGGACATTGCTGTTATTGAGGAATGACGGCATGTTGAAGCCATTAGCAATAGAACTCAGCCTGCCTTCATTTCCTCTGGGAAATGGAAATGAAGAGCAGAGAGTCTTTCTTCCAGCAGAAGGAGGAGCGGAAGCTGCTCTCTGGCAGCTTGCTAAAGCCCATGTTGCTGCCAATGACAATCTTTACCATCAACTCATCAGCCATTGGTAAGCTCAACATCTTCTATGAAGCATGTTTGGTTTAAAACCATGATTTTAGTGGAAATAGTTACCTGCTTCCACCAAGACCATTGGTGATTCAGTGAAGAAGCCCCCCCTGGGGGGGGGGGAAGAGAGAAAGAAAACATGCATTAAGTTGTTACGTATATTGAGGTTTCGCATGTTAAACATCACACGCATTTCACAAAAGTATTGAAATCAAACAGGGTTTTATCAATGTAAAACATAAAATTTACTGTAAGAGCAATATTCACAAACCATGAATAGTGTGACTCACCCGTCAAACTCTTGGAACGCACGTGGAAATGTGTCTCATTATAAAAGATTCTTCCGATGAAAAGGTGAACGCCCAAGAGATTACAGATACTAACTCTTATTGTATAAAGTCAGTAATTCAGAAGCAATGCAAATAACAAGCTAATAAAATAAAGGAGAGGACTGAGCGGTTCTTTGGCAGCAAACAACCACCCTACTCCCAAAAATTCTAGTTTTCTCATAACTTCTGCATGCACATGATATAATATATCAATAAATAATATTAATGATGATTGTTCTACTATTAAGTTCTCTGCAATGAAGTATTTTGCAGGTTGCATACCCACGCAGTTGTTGAACCATTTATCATTGCCACCAGAAGACAGCTAAGTGTTATGCATCCAATCCATCGGATCTTGAACCCTCATTTCAGAGACACCATTCACATAAATGCTTTAGCAAGATGTATACTTATAGATGCAGAAGGGATTCTTGAGAAAATATTACTTTCCGGGGAAATCTCCATGGAAATGTCATCTGAGCTCTACAAAGAGTGGAGGTTCACTGAACAAGGCCTTCCTGCTGATCTACTCAAAAGGTAAATTGCACCTTCATTAACAAGAAAGGCAAAGTCTGAGTATTACACCTATCTAATTTCACTTTTCAACTATACGAATTAATCATCCATGATACACTAATTTTTCAAGACTAAGTTAAATGTTTCTAAAAGCTCGGATAGTAAATTGTTAGTTTACTCTTCCAATTACAAAGTCTGGAGTTTCACTGGGCATCTTAGGTTCTGGTTGTGGCTTTTCAGGGGTTTGGCCATAGAAGACCCAGATGTGAACAACCCCGCCGGGATTCAATTTCTCTTGGAGGATTATCCCTACGCCACTGATGGACTTGAAATATGGGTTGCTATCAAACAATGGGTCAAGGACTTCTGCTCGTTCTTCTACAAAGACGATGATGCTGTTAAGTCTGATATCGAACTCCAGGCGTGGTGGACAGAGATTCAAAATGTTGGTCATGGTGATAAGCGCAACGAAACTTGGTGGATACGAATGACTACTCTCCCAAACCTGGTTGAAGCATTGACAACACTCATTTGGATTGCTTCAGCTGTGCATGCATCGCTTAACTATGGGCAATATGTGTACTCTGGTTACCCACCAGGTCGTCCAACACTATGTAGACAATTTATTCCTGATGAAGGGACACACGAGTTTGGAGAGTTTCTCAAGGACCCAGATAAATTTTTCCTCAAGATGTTGCCTGGAAGATTTGAAATGAGTTTGGCTGTAGCATTAGTAGAAGTTCTCTCACAACACGCTTGTGATGAAGTGTACTTGGGTTGCCAACCCTCTCCTGAGTGGATAGACAACGATGAGGTTCGAAAGAGATTTGCACAATTCGGTGAAGAATTAAAAAAGATTCAGACAAGGATCTTAAGTAGAAATAATGACGCCAGGCTACGGAACAGACGTGGCCCAGCGAAAATGACATACAATCTCTTGTACCCTAATACAACAAGTTCTGGATCAAAAGGAGTCACGGGAAGAGGGATACCTAACAGCATATCAATTTAGCTGACTGTCTTTTTTAAATTTATTTGTAAATTTCTGTAGAATAACAATTGTGCCTCGTTGACTAAAGGCCAGAAAAAGCAATAAAAGGAATTGGGAAATGCAAGATGCCCAAAAGAAGTAACCAAGGATAGTATGACTGACTCTTGCCATCTTGTATGGTACTTCCCATTTTTCTTTTCCTTATTTCATAAAATTTACACCCAGCAAGAACCCTTGGCAGCAGAAACTTCAAATCACACAACCCTAGTAGCAGTATATGCTTGATTTTGTCTCATAAATCATAAAGAGTTGGTGAAAGGGGAAGTCATTTGTTATAGACTCTGATAGTCACCATAGGAACAGCTGGAAATGGACACAGCAGCATAAGCAGAATAGCTATGTCAAAATAGAAAACGGAATCAAAGAATCAGATGAATTACTGCCTATCACAAGAGAAGATAAATTATTTACTTTTTGAAGTAACCACCACTTCGGCAATTCATTTCATAGGATAAAAACAATAAAAAATAGGAAGAATTGTAAGGAAGGGCCAAATTCACAAATTAATTAAGAAGGCCCTTAAATTTACCGCTCACATAAAGCAAATCCACCAGTTGAACTACGAGTATTACCATTCACGTAATGCAAATTTACAACTAAAAAGATATTTATCGCTTAAACAACACAAATTTATATGTGGAACAATGAGTATTACCATTAGAGGTCTCTAGCAAAAAAGAATTTGTGAATTTGGTTTTTAATTCTCCCTAAAAAATAGTATGTTGACGTAAAAAGGAAAACAAGAATTATGGCTACAATTAAAACAAAATTTAAAGAAAGTGGAAGGGATTACAAAAGGAAAATTAATAAGGGATATCATATGATATAGAATAATGAAGAGGAAGGAGATAGAAAGGGACAGAAGAGAGGGAAAGAGAAGGAAGAAGAGAGAAACAAGAGAGAAAAGAGTGAGATCAGAGAAAGAGAAGCAGGGGAATCACATTTCCATGAACCAAAAGCCCGATTACAGCTAGTCCCTAGGCCACTTATTTATAGCCATTAGCTACAAACGGTCATCTCTCCTAATTAACCCCTCTGACCTCCAACTAACTTCTTTTATTTATTACAACATAATATCATCATACCTAAAAATCAGTCATTTCAGGAAGTTACAAGATGACCCCATGTCTTGATGATGCTAAAGCATAACCAAGATCTTTTTCAAATGCAAGAATAACAATTCTTCTTAGCAGCATGCATTTCATCAACAGCACCGATGCACACAAAAAGGTCCATCATCAACTTTTGTAGGACGACCCAACACCATATCAGTGACCATTTCAGCAGTCCCTAAGGCCTGGAAATTACTCCAAAATTAGAAAAGATCTTTCAATCCCTTTCTAGCCAAAAAAGAAAGCATTTTTATTTTCTACATTATTGTAAAGAGTAAACGCATGCTCACTACCATTTTCAAATAGACAATCAACGCTGATTTTCAAAGTCCATTAATTTAATTAATAAGAAGAGTCTTTGCAAACTCACCATCGAAAGCCCTTCCCCTTCATGCCCAGCAGCAAGGAACAAGTTAGACAAGCCAGGCACAGGCCCAATCACTGGCTTCCCGTCAGGCACTGACGTGGAAAAATTTGTATTAAGTCAGACACTTCCCAAGCAGCGAGGAAAATACATGCAGATAACTTCTCCTTTTTTCAAATAAAAAATATATGCAAAGAACTTCTAAAAGCTAACAAAATGAAGATTCAACCGCAAGACAATTGAAAGAAAAACTAGAACTCACTGTAGGGTCGTAATCCAACTCTGACATTTCTACTTGCACTGAGATCTGAAAGGGAAAGTGTTTTTAATGTGGGAAAGAAATCTCCAGCTCGTTTCCATATGTGATTGACAATGGACTCATCCAAATCAGTGCTGAACCCAACAAATTCTCGGCTACTTCCTTGATGGTTGGTATTTTGGTTGTCACCCGCAAATAACAAAAATGGTGTTAAAACTTAAAATGAAAAACCCAAAAAGCAAAGCATATGCATCCACGGCCATTGCCAGTATTAATCTATCTCATGAAATTGATTTATGAGTAGGAAGACGTTGAATAATAATAAAACTTCCAATGAAGTCGGAATGGAAGATAACTTCAATCAAAAAACATTTCCCAATGAGTTAGCTGAAGATATACTAAAGGCATCATGATCACATGACCATTTAATATAGTTCTTTCTAAGCATATAATATTTTCACATCATACACAACTATAAAACAAGGTAAAAATCACGTAGCTTTTCTCTCTTTTCCTTCTCTTCTTATTTCACCTCATGTTTACCCAAATTAGGAGCACCTCATGCATTCAAATTATTTTCTCAATAAAGGGTGAGATTACACTGAATGGTAAACATAACGAAGGCAGCAAGCATGTTCCAATAAATAGAATAATTTATAACTCAACTGGGAGGTCTGTTTTACGAATATATCTATGAATAACATGACAACTTCATTAAATAAACCCACCATAATTGCATGTTATTTAGAAAACCCTCTTCAAAGAAAGAGCCTTCATTTTTAATATCAGTAACATGCAGTCACGATAGCGAACACTTAACATGCAATTACCAACTTCAGCTCCAAAAAAAAAAATATCAACATTATATATTGTCCACACAAACTAACCATATATAATCCCCATTGGGGACAATTATGCAGGCTATACGTATTTACCCAAAAGAACATTCCCCATTGCATCAACAGTTGCCGTCATTGAAACAGATAAGGTTCGCCCATGATCATATCCTTCCAACCCTGAAACCATAGGTGGTGAAGATGCAGTTTGATGATCAACGTAACCTGCCTCCATCAGACCATGATTCAATTGTAGGGAATGGAAATTCTCTAGCACAAGCAAGTGACCCTTCACAAGAATAAAAAAAGAATTAAAGGAATGTAATAATTAGTCAATCAACCAAAAGATAAATCAGTTTGAATCATATCTTGCTTTATAAAGGAATTTACTCAAGAAATCGCACCATTATCTTCACACAAATAAAATCAATGTCAAAAAGTTTCTTGTTTCCCACGGGACAAACTAGAGTGATCTTGATTCAACGCCACCCAGCATTCCTTGGCGTCAAATTCAATCACTGAAAATCAAGAAAATAACAAAAAGCTAGAGACAATTTTTTCCACAAGAATAACACAATCAGTTATCTTAGATATCAATATTCAGCAGTCCGTCAAGATAAAAGAAATACTTGAGATCAAAACGGAAGAGCTCCTTAGATAAACATATCTGGAACAATAAGCAAGGATGCCCCCTCAAATCAAATGTAACAAATATCTCTAATTACACGTTAGGATTATCTTCTCGCTTTTACTAGTGAGCAATATCTTATTCTCCAGCTTGTGAGTATTACTTTTCTTTGTATTAAAATTTACTTTTTAACTAATACAATAAATTTTATAGGACAGAGATACACATATAATTTGAATATTTCATTACAAAGTTTTTCCCCCCAACATATCATGAAGTTTTGATCATTTTATCCAATGTACAATAAGTAGAGGCTGTAAATTATCTCAAAAAGAGAGAATAAGCATTATGGGAAGAAATTCAGTCTTTAAGGGAAAATAATAGAGACGCGAGGGGAAAATTCTAGAGAGAGAAGTCTGGGAAGCAATTAGTAGAGAGTTCAATAGAAGAGAATTATGGAAGATATGATTGGAGGTTTAGCAGGAGGGAAACTGGGACCTGCTACAAAATGTGCAAACTGTTCCAGAAATTCAATTATCTGTCAAGGTTCCAAGAGAGGGTCTGACGGCAGCAAGATTAGGGTTCTTGGCCGTTCAGAGGAGTCTAATTCTAGTTGACGTCTCAGAATTTTGATTACAAAACTTTAGTATGTAATCTGCCATGTCAGTTGGGGGTCAATTCCCACTTACTACAATTTGGTCGTGTGAAAGAAAAAATATGTTTAATGTAATGCCCAAAAAAGGCCAAAAATAACAAATACAAAATTACTTTAATTTTTTTTCTCATTTAAAGATTATTGAATTTATTTTTAAAGTGTGATTCTCTAAATTTAGTTACACTTTTATTATCATTGGATATTGTTGATATATTTATTATTTCAAGAAACATTCAAAGAATAAAAGTGTAACTAAATTATCACACTTCTTTAAAAAAAAATCATCTTTCAATAACAAAAATAATAACAAAAAATAAGAATAACTAAAATAATATTTTTAAAAGATGGTTGAGAACATTAATGATTATATGTTCTTTTTCCAATTCCGAAACCAAAGCAATAATATATTTGTCATTTTGCGGTGCTCTTTTCTGTACCACATTAAACATGTTTTTCTTCCCACAACCAAAATGCACCAAGCGGCAACAATAACAAGCCTTGCTGATTAAATGGAGTTGGCCACATAGATCGCAACAACAAACTTTTCCAACATATCATTAACCAAAAGATTATGATTGGTGACATCATTGACCGAAAAATAATTTGGCCAACAAAAGAAACTGCTACAATGCAATTAGCATGCAAGAAGTGAGGTCAAAAACTAAGTTTCTGTGATACAAATATTTCGTCCAATAGAACCATGCATAAGAGAGGGACTGCAAATTAATTTTTCCCGCCCTTCTCTTCCCCTTACCTACTCTCTTCCTTTCTCTGACACATTTTAAAGAAAGAAAACATTGAAAGTCAACTATCACAATCACTCACAAAAAATAGCATGAGCGTAAAACTTTTCATAGGTATGAATTTAACTAATTAGAAAAAAAATTAACGATAGAATGAATCAAAACTCCCAACAAAATATGTAGTGAAATTTTTTTCTCTTGCTACATTAGCGAGTGGCAAAGATCAGACCCTTGACCACTTGGTTACAGAGGTTTTAATGTCATATCAAGATCCATTTCATCTGAAAAGCAGAAGTTGTTGTTAAGTGGAAAATAACGTACAACAAATATTTAAGGAACTTACACTTTTGAATTGAAAAAAAAATCAACGCAATAGTATGGAATTTCAAGAACATTAGCATGGCAGTAATACAATGTGCTCAAGTATATCATCACATGGTTTTCAAAGCTCCCCTATCTTATTACAACTTGTTGGAAGGGGATTTTCCATGTTCGAAAGTTTTCACTATCAACTGGCATGACGTCAACTTTTTTTCACAAAAAAGGTACTAAATTGCAGCGTAAATGGAAAAAGAATAAAGGAACCTATCATTAGCATTAGTTCGTGATACATATATACTCACCTTTCTGGGCCTTACAGGAATATTTAACTGCATTCCCCAGTTTCTAACCAAATCATGCATCACAGAACCAGTCCAACATCCAGTCGCAACTATAATAGCCTTCTTGCTATACAATGTCCTTTTGATAGTCTCGACAGCTTCCACCTCTCCTTTGCTGGCCCCTCTGAACACATATTGAAACATAGCATTGACCCAAAAAAGTACATGTTCCATTTATTTCCACTATAGTGAAAGAGAAATAAATCAAACTTAAAACCTAAATGAAAAAATAAACCTGATTAAGCATTTCACAGGCTCATTGTAGAACTCTGCATATCGTCCTTTTAATGCAAAATGCTTGTTAGCCTACATATCAACATGACTTTGTGACCAAGTCTGTGCTATGAAGTGACACGGTAACTAGGTATGGGTATGTTGGATGAAACAAAATAATGTTAAGGACTTGAAAGTATATATATAAATATCTATAATTAAAGTGATAATAATAACCTTCTCAATATATGCAACAGTACGATGAGCATCCAATTGACAGTCATCAGGTAGAAAGGCGGCTGCACTGTCTTCATCCACCAACAGAGCAGGTTCCCTGTTGAATAGATCACTGCTACACAAATACTCTGCTTTCAATCCAGCCTCAGTGAGCTGTTTAACCCTCTTTTTCACCATATCTGACTCTGCCTGAGTTCTGCCAACTAAGAGGCTTCCTACAGATCAGAAGCCATATCATATCAGCCTCAGCCTTATTGTTACAGAGAAAAGAGTTTAATTTTCCACATTAAGAATATCAATGCCTCCTGCTCCTGAATATTATTACCACTTGGGCACATCAGGGAAGATCAGACACAGTCACACGACTGACTCACACCAGTGAATGGAGAACAGTAAACAAAGCCTGTATAATTTTAGTCTGCTAAAAATTCTAAAATTATAAATTATAATCAGCATTCTCCATTTCGAGATTTCCCTTCGAGCTCAGAATCAACATGCAAATTTATTGACCACAATTCAAATTCAAAATGCAACAGTATGTAGCAAAAAGCAAATCAATTGTTTCCATTTACTGCAGTAATACAATTGATTGATCAATCCATTTGATTAATCAGAGGCAATATTTTTGTCTAGGAACATAAGTATCACTTTTGTTAATAAAATTCAAATCTTTCTTTGCATAGCTATTTTCGGATAAAAGAAAATTATTCAATTATAGGAATACTAAGATTTGTCTTATGAAGGCACCAAAATAGAGCACATAAATACGCCTTTCACTTTGTCATTCAAGAAATATTAAAAGACATCAAAAGTTCTTTTCTCGAAAAGATACATGACTTTTTCAGTTTAATTTATAAGCTGAACTTGTACATAAAGTATAACTATGGGGGTATCTCATCATGAGACGGCAACTTCGAAGTGCAACCAGATGTCTGAGTTGTCTGTTGCCCTCAAATCCCATTGCCACCCTTGCACCTTGCTCTCAAAATAGGTGTACCCAAAACTATTTAGGTCTGCTATTAAAAAAAAAAAAAAAATCAATCGAAGAGCATAAAATGTATATGGAAGCGAAGGAATCAGTTTAATCTCCAAATGAAACCCTCATATGAAAATCCTTTGACCTTGAAACATGGGAAGACAGTATAAGTGTATCCTTACTTTATGCTAAAAATTTACTGAAGTTAGGAGAATAGGGGTGGCAAAAATCATAATCATAATCACTTGGTAGAATAAGCACTTATATCATGCTAAGGAACCATAGAACCAAAAGCTATGACTATTAGGTAAAAGCCTAGTGATGACTTTCACATCTAATAAGGTCTAGAATATCTTCATCAATGTTGGGTGCAATCGGAGGGCAAATAACTTCTTCAATAACTGATCTAACTTTTGTGACTTTGGGGTATAATTTCAGCCATCCAAGGCAAGCAGAATCCTCCAATAATATTCATGGCAAAAGCCACAAAAACCAGCTTCAACGGCAGCCAAAGAAGCCAACAGGTAATGCCATCTTGGCATTCATGCCCATGAGTGTTGGGGGACAATGTTGGACTGGCACAAAGGCGGCCTAAAGAAGTGCACTTTGACAAGGGTCTGATGTGGAGAAGATCAATGCCTAAGGGGCCCCTTCAAATTTTTCAGAGGTTAGAAAGAGGTTGTATTCTTATACTTCATCATCAGTTGTGTAAGATTTGCTCCAAAAAAAAAAATATCATCAGTTGTGTAAGAGGTAAGATTTTGTTTCAGAAGGAATTATTGTTTGTATTTGTGATCTGAGTTGATTATGTGAATTTAAAGGTAGCTGTTTCAGAACCTAAGACGTGGCTGAAAAATCTAGCAAGGATGTATTTTTTAATTTTGGAGCTGCTAATGTGGAGTTCTAATATGGTGATTACAACAGCTTGGTTTTAGTGTTGGTTTGAAGATTTCTTGTCATGGAAATTCAATCGAAGCTGTTGGCACAATTGAGGGAGTCTTAAGGGATAGAGCAAAAAGAGAGTCGCATGTTAAAGACTCTGGCATTATGATATAGCCGCTGGTTTTAAACAGACCTATAAAAGGAAAGTCAAAGGGACAACAAGGTCAGATAAATGAAACTGTAGAGTGGCGATAGACTTGGTCTAACTTCAGGGCTATTTTTTGTCCTTTTATTGCTGCTGCTTATATTTTGACTCTACGGTAATTTTGGGGGGTACGAGGATTGTAATTTTGGAGAGTGTTGACTCTAGGAGGGGACTGGTCTCTCGAACACCAGTGAGGACCTTGCTGAGGCTTGGTTGTTATTTCTGTATTTTGATTTGTAAGCTGTTAGGGGATTAGGATTTTGAGTTGAACCAGCATCGATTCTTATTTTGTAAGCTGGTTCATTTTTCCAGTACTTTATTAATCAAAATCTCAGGATTTCCCCGTGTCTGTTTCGTTCGGTGGTTATATTTTCCTTATTTATCAGCATTTGGAGAGTGGGTCCTATCACATTATTGTCGTGTGTTATTGGTTGCCCAAATGATGTTCGCTGAGTCAACTCTCACCTTTGAATATTGCCAAGTAGCACTGAAAAATAAAACTCATGATTCGAGTGGAACATTTAAGCACAATGTCAAATCAATAGAAGCAATCTTTTAAGGTTTAAGGACAGCACATAAACCCGCTAAAAAGACCAAAGAGTTCCTGGTCATGGCTTTACAAGTTCAAAATATACACTTTGAAACAATATCGAAGTTTCTTAATACTTTGTACCCCTTTAATACAAACCGAAATAATAAGGAATGTGAATGATAAACAAGAAATCTTTCGTTCTTAAATCATAATACAGTTTCATATTATATAAATTAGCTGGCCTCTATAATTATAATTTAAATTAGACAGATGGACAAAAATTTGTCAAGAACTCGCGTCATTGCAAATGCCACTCCATCTGCAGCTTCAGATATTGAAACCATTGAATTAACTCCCTTCAAAATGAGACAAAAACAGAGACATTTGGGGAATAAGGATCCAAATCTGTCATACCAGTCTTTTTCCAACCTAATTCCTCCAAAGGATTCAAGCCTTGCTTCTGTAGGCTTTCTGCCAACACATTCCACAGTCTGCAGCTTCTCAGTGCAAGATCCCACTTTCCACTCCCTGGTGTTTTGGGCACCATCCACAGATATCCCTGCCCTAAACGCGGTACATATTCCAAAAGAAAAGAAAAGAAATCTTACAGTCAATTGGAGTTCAGAAAATGCTCAACTTATTTGGGCCCAACAAAAAGAATTGACCGCATATCAATATGGCGTCCGCCGTTACTGAAAAAAATGAAGATTTCAGAACTAAGTCATATACTCATATCACATAGAGAAACTAGTCACACTAGCTCTCCTTTGTTTTTTTTTCCTAGGTCAATGATGCTAAATTAATTCAACAAACCTCAATCTAAAAACTACAACGCGAAATTCCTATGTATAATAGGGAAAAGAAGTGGGTCAAGTTTCTTGATCTGCAATCAAAAGATGACACGTAGAATACACTGGAGAAATGGATAGCACCCAAAAATAAACTAAAGGTCCATTCAACAAATATTAAATATCAAAACTGCAACTAATCCAAACTCTACTGCTGCAAATGAAACATGAAGAACAGAGAAGATGGAGGAGGCATCTTATCACCTGCGCCAGTTGCACCGGAACAAGGAACGGCCTTATCAACTACGGCGACCGATAGGTCCGACTCGATCAGCAACTGGCGGGCGATAGTCAACCCGATGATTCCAGCTCCGATTACCACAACATCAAAAGTTTCGTGAGATGCAGAGATGGGTCTGATTTCAGATAATCGATTGGTGCGTGGTTTTGCCGCGGACAAGAAAAAGGATCTTGGGAGAAGTTCTGAGCCAAACAAGATCGAATTCGAGGCCGAACCATAATAGCGTGTGGTACGCAATAAGAGAGTGTTGTTATTATGCGTATGAATAGTGTTTGGGTAAAATGTTGAAGCTAGAGCCATTGTCTTCCTCTGCTACTGTCTCCCCTCTACTATGAGCCTGAACTGTGACGTTCTGAAGTTTCAAACTTTGGCGCTAGCTTGCAATGAGATACGAAAGTTTGACCATCACAAGCTCCTCCTTCCAGTCTGGTCTGGGGTTGAATAAACTACTCCTCCGCTACTTAATATAGTAACCAATTCTTAGTTGGTTTTGACGCTAAATATAAGATCTATTTCTCATATTTATCAATTTTTTTTAAATTACCTTTATGGATACCCCTCAACTATAGTCAAATAGAAGAGAAAGATGAGGTATTAAGAAAGATGATTATAGTGTTTTAGGAAAAATGTGTCATTTTTCTTATAATTAACTAACTTACCTAACTTCCTTAATCTAATCAAATTAGTTAAATGGGCCTTATATTAAGAATCGGATGAATAATTTTTAGATAGAACGTGATTGAGCGACCCCACAGGGATCGGGAAAGATGGCCTCCTGAGATCGAGGTGATGACCCACTATGCTACAGTATTGCTTAGCTAACAGTTAAATTAGGTAAATTAATTATTTATGAAAAATATGTATTTGTATTCTTTAAAATATCATCTTGAATCCTTTGTTTGAAATGAGCCTCTGATCCAAACTCTCCCAATATAAGCAATCAATAAGATTAGCTTGAATAAATAAATAAAAACAAAATTGAAGTTTTATACTCAAAGTTAAATTTAACATTAACTCTTTGTTCTCTAGGAAAATTGGTAATAAATCCTTTATTAGAAAATTAATTGACAAATGATCCCTAAGATAATGGGTTGCATAGAAGATGAAGTTCGGTTGCACATAAATGAAATTGAGTTGCACATAGAGGAAATGGTTTGCACAAAATATTATTTAGATATATCGTACTAGTTTGCACATAAAGATGATAACTTGCACACAAAAAAAGATAGATTGCACATAAGGAATATTCAATTGCACAAAGAAAAGATGTGACACAAGAAAATATAAATGCACATAGAGGAAGATGAATTGCACATGGAGGAAGTTAAGTTGCACACTGAAAACGTTCAATTACATAAAGTCCTTAGGTATCATGTACTAATTAAATTCTCATTAAGGGATTTATCCCCAATTTTCCCATTTCTCCATGGTAAAGAAGTTGTCTTAGTTATAGTAATTTACATACTCTCTTTATAATATTTAAAATTTTGAATTTATTTGTCCCTTTTTTATAATATTAGTCGAATTCATTTAAACATGCATTAAATACATTTTTAATCTTTTTACCCGCATTAATATACCTACTCATTATTTTTTTCCACACATTGTCTAATTTTTTTTACTCACTCCCATCTGTCCACTTGTAAATAAAAACATATTTGAGAGGGGGAGCATATTTTCTATATATTTATTACTTTTAACAAGTTTCAGCAATTTTTTTAAATCACGTAATTTAATTGACTGGATTTTATAATATAAAACTGATAAAGTAAGTAACACTTTGTATTTGTCTAAATATTTAATGGATTTTTTGTAATTTTATTCTCCAACTAACTGCATGTTTATCTTATCTGTTTTTTTTTTTTTCAATTCATTCCCCATCATTTTTTTTCCATTTATTCTCTCTCTTACCCATCATCTTAGAAATAAGGATATATTTTGGGGGGGGGGGGGGGATTTAACAACCCCTTGATCATGATTTGGTTCTTCTCTCTCTTGCCCATCATCTTAACCATCATAATTTGGTTCTTTGATACTTACATATATGGACGATAGGGAGTGTAATTTATTGTAAATTTTATTTTTATGTTGATATATATATATATATGTATCTGTATGTATTATACTACTTACGATCATAATTATAAGATCTTGTTTGTAGACTATAAACCAGGTCTTATAATTAGGATCTGTCTACAAACGAGGTCTTCTAATTAGGACTTGTTTACAAACGAAATTTTATAATTAGGACCGGAGGTAATAATAAGTAAGTCCATAAATTGTTTTTTGGTTTGTTTTTGTTTTATCTAATTTTATTGTTATTTTTAGGCCTCTACTATTTTTATTTGATACAATCATGTAAAGAGGCCTCTCTTTTTATGTATCATTTTAATTATGTATTACTACCTCCGGTCCTTAATATAAGACCCTGTTTGATTTTTATTTTGGTCCTAAATATAAAACCCCAATCCATTTTGTTTCTCATATTTACTCAATTTTTTCCAAGATAGTCCTTCTAATAATTATAGTTCTAGTTAATACACTTGATTAGCAAGGATATTTTAAAAAAGACAACACCTATTTAAGACAAATAACTAACTCAACTTACTTCCTTAATCTCCTCAAATTAGTCAACTGACTCTTATAATTAGGACCGGAGGTAGTATTTCACTTGGTGTTTATTAAAATTGTCTATATCAAATAATAATAAGCAAGTCCATAATAACCATAAAAAGTGATATGAAATCATTTTTTCACTCATACTTATTTTCCTCTTGTTTGTCTGGTTCAAGCTTAGCTTATTTGGATATTTTCAATTGGTTTTATTCCCCTTTTGGATACATCATATTTGGAAGCTATGCTGTGTCGATGTTACAATACAATCTCCTTTAATAGAAGGGGCAAAATGATTCCAAGATAAAATACACTAATTACAGACATGATTTTTTAGCATAATGAGGGAACAATCAATAAAATTGAACTAACAATAATATCTATTTTTGTGGTTAATAGATAAAATTCATTAGGACAGCATTAAATTTATTGAGGCAAATGCCAAATACAGAGATATTTCAAAATACGCTTTGAATCTCAGATTTCAAGTATAATTAAAAAGGAAGAAAAAAAAACTCAAGCAATGTGACACTCTCATTCTTTGTCATTTCAAGTACAATTTATTTTCTTAAAAAAAAAAGCTCAAGCAATATGACCACGCTCTCATCTTTTGTCATCCTCTTCCAAAAAGGCTGCTGGTTTAATCCTACTTATAATTTCAACAAGTCATTAATATGTGCCTCCTATAATTCCCCAAAAAAACAAAGAAGAAGCAGACCCCACAAAAGGCTCTTGTAGAAATTCAAATTCAATTACTCTTTTGGTTTATATCATAGAACAGTGTAAAGCAATGAAAGCACAGTGCTCAGAACCAGGAATATTATGTATGGTTTCCTATCTCAATACACGAAACTCAAGAACTAGTTTTTTAACACATTGTTACGCATGCAAACGAACATTTATGGCCGGAAAAGTTAGATTCTTTCCATGTCACTGAGCATGGCCGCAATAAGTAAAGAGAATTAAGTCATCCATGCTTTGTGACCAATTTAATGCTTCAAGGTTTGATGTTAACATATCATGTTATGTTCATGATAATATACCAAGAAATATATAATACCATCTTTCAACTCAAAATCTAATGACAATCATGGGTCATTCCTATTCATATGCTCCTTCAACCTACCCTACTGTTAGATGCAGAATTTCTTCATGTTTCACTGTAACTCGACTCCAATAGAAATGGCGTGAAAAATACCTAGCAACTTGATTATAGGATGTCCAATATTCATCAACGATTTTATATCCCAGTCTTCTTGTCCCCATTGATGACATGGATAAAAAATCCATGTCAGCTTCTTTGTTAAATCTTCATCAAAATATTAATTCATGCTTGATTAATCCAGTAACTTTTTTGAAAATAACTCACAGAAATCACCTTTCATCTACGATCAAGGGTTCAGAATGCAACTCAGATATCATTTGAGATTAGGCCCATCCCATGAGCAAATGGAACCAATGCATTGCCACCATAATCTTCATCTGTAACAACATTTCCTACCATATAACCCTGCATGTAAATCACTTCAGGTTGCAGCAACATAGGCTTGAAAACATATTTATCGATCAAGGATAGAGACCCTGGAATTCTCAGATTGGGCTCTACACCAACATGAATCCCTTCAAAACTTTGAAACTGTACCTTATTCCCGATCCAAATACATTGTAACAATTTCGACCACCAAAGGACAACCTATTTCATTACATTATTTCAGAAGCAGGAGTAGGCACAAAAATTCCAGCAAATGACCTTTCAAAACAAAGAAGGGCAGGAACTCAGGGAAAACAATCTCAGAAAAATAATAGAGGGTAATTGATTTATACAATTTCTGTGAAAATGGTCCAATTTTTTCCATCACTATCTTAAGGAGAAAAGTATGCGTCTCAGAGGCAATTTTTTTGTCTCCAGTTCTGTAATCAGATTCATTCTTGGGGTGAGGAAAACCCAAACCAACAAGAGAATCGAAATATCAAATGTTGGAGACCTGTAATGCAGAGAAATTAATTTATATGTAAAATTTAATTAAGGAATGAAATTGAAACCTGAGACCAAAATCGGTATCTTTTGCCCAAAAAATATATTCTTTTCAGAATTTCAAACATCATCCAAGGTTCAAACAAGATATCTTTGACCAACTGTAAGGATTGAGGTGCAATGTAGGAAGATTGCCCTTAGTCTTTGCTCCTTCAAAATTTAAAGGGCCTCAAACACAAATTAAAGTAATACAAGAGTGATATGAAAATATTAGGGGTGATGCTAAATAATTTATGAAGGATCGAACTGAGATTTTATAGGGAAAAAAAACAGTTTCTAAAATAAAAATGGAATGATTATATCATGCCCACAGATGAAGCCATCAAAGCTAAGACCAGCCAGCCTGGTCCACCATTAAGCCACAGAACCATAGGATCTTCTTCTAAAGGTTTGTTTTCTGATACAACAAAATAACAGTAAAGGTTCCTTGCACACTTTCATCCACTGTCATACCTTCAACATTCCATTGCAAGAACCACAGCATCAGACGTAAGGCAAGTCTTTTCCTATTAAGAGAGGATTTGAAAACAGCCATTGTAGAAACGGTAATAAAAGCAAAAACAGCTAAGAGAGCAGACTTAGTCAAGCGTTTTCTTTTCAAGGAAACCCCGGATTCCAAATCATAAAATAAGCACAAAAAAATTATGAAATAACAAAAAACATAATTTTTAATCCGAGAATCTGATTAGACGCTGCAGAAATAGGAATAAAAGCAAAAAGAATTTAATGTACCCAAAAGCATTAGAGACACAAGTCAAGTCTTCTTTATTAATGGAAAACC